ATTGATTTTCTAATCCAATTGATGAGGTCTCTCCATCCAGCAGCTTGTTTAAATTAAGCTTTTATTCTTTGTTTCTTTGTCTTTTCAGTGCACATGGCATCATATATTAGACAAACACACAGCTACATACATATTGTATCATGCAAATGTTCCACAGGCTGAAAACATGTTGTAATGTGTATCGTCCATGCAGTTTTACACAATAAACTCACAGTAAAATACTACTGTTGCAAATGCCGGTTGCATTTGGTTCCTCAGTGTCTATTTATAATCTTCATTTTAAATTTGCAAACAACTGAAGTTCCCCAAACACACAAATCCTTTTCAGCAGTTTTTGTTACATTCCACCAACAGAAAACCATATCAAGCTATGATAAACAATCTGTGTCTAACATCCAACTACTGATGTGCTTCACGGTTCAGATACATCTCTGCCATCTGATTTCAAAGTGCTAAAGAAAACGCAGCAAGCAGTAATTTGAGCTTTTATAGCATTCACTTAGTTACACAGTGTGTAACATTTAGGAGCAGATATGGTCAGACATGGAATACAATATTCATAGGTAGTTTTCATTAGTGTATTATAACCTGAAAAGAAGAATTGTTATGTTTACATTATCTTTAGACGCTGCGGGTCAAGCTCCATGGAGTCCGCCATGCTGAACAGCTTGTTTAATGACTGTTTCTTTTGAAAACACTGGGACTAAACCAGACAGGAGATGTGCTGCAAAACCACCTTATTTTTAAGATAATTGATTGGGAAGATCTTCTGCACCACAAGCTCAAAAGTTGAACACATACACTAGACAACAAGTTGATCATGAAACATGATGAACATGTTTAATGTCAATGTTGAGGAGATAAAAACATACTCATTCAACATCAGAGAAGGCAGCCTTAATATACACACACAACATCCCAACATTATTTACATTTCACTTAATAGACGTCCTGCTTAACAATATTTCCCCCATCATCGGAAGTTACTAATATCAGACGCATCCTACAGCTCATTAAAATACCATTACCGTGTCTGTCAACATGATACTAAGATTGTAAATGACTACAAGACAGATACTACTACACTACATCCTAACAATTATTTTTTATTTAGTCTAAGGTTGAAATCAGTTTGGGGATGTTGTGGCTTTATGGTAATCATTTTAACCACTTGGAAAATACAAATGAACAATGTTTCTCACCGTGTTATATGACACTATAATAGGTTAAACAGCCAGACTTTGTTTAAACAAACAGAACTTCACTTTAAATGATTTCTACAGATACCAAACTTGTCAGGCTAAACAATTAAAAAGAGATTAACCATTTCCGAGTTTTATTAATGGTGACTGGGTTTTAATATTTCCCTCATTCTAAATAAGAACAAGCAGATTCAGACAGTTTAATTTGACCATGCGGACAGTGCTATAACATTATTATTTTTTTTTAAATATTTTTTATATTTATTTATATGATATTTGGTCAAAAAGGTCAAAGAAGGTTCCTGTATGCGTCAGCAGGATGAAATTCACTGTGAAGAAACATTAATCATTGAGTAACGCTGGGCTTTTGCTGTGACAACACATACAACACTGACATCACTTCCTCCATATGACTTCCACACTACATGGTACTGTATGTGAGCAGAGGGTAATATATTATTGTTCAATGAGTCATTAATAAAAAAGTTTTACTAAAATGTAAAAAGAAAAAATAAATATTTTGCAGTTTTAGCTGTGCTAGCAATATTGCTATATTGACATTCAAGGTCTACAGAAGATGAGGCCTGAAGACTTTGGTGATCCTTTGAGTTTTCCAGACATTTGGTTTGGTGTAAAATAACAATAAAAGAAAGAAAAAGAAAAACAGAAACAAAAAACTACTGGATGGATTGCTATGAAATTTGGTTCAGACATCCAGGTTCCCTTCAGGATGAATTGTAACTTTTGGAGATCTAACACCACCATCAGGTTAGATTGTTAATTGGTCCAGTGCCTGTAAGTACCTGCAAACTATACTATACCCATCAGCCTCCTCTGTGCCTTGTGTTTACTGCCAATAAGCAAACATTACCATGCTAGCGGGCTAAACTAAGATGGTGAAAATGCTGAGCTTTATACCTGCTAAATATCAGCACATTAGCATTGTCATTGTGAGCATCTTAGCACGCTGATGTTAGCATTTAGCTCAAAGGCACTGCGGTGCTAAAGTACAGCCTGACAGAAGTGCTGTAGACTCTCTGGCCTGTTAAAGAATCATCTGTGATTTTAGAGACACTAAAGTATAACAAACAGAAATAAAAACTCTTTAGTTATAATTTTAAAAATAAACCAAGTGGTAGTAAACAAACACTAACAGTCACTGTTATATAATTGTTGTCTTCTTCTTGGTTTGTTTGATACCACGTCATTAGTGTTGTTGTCCTACTTGTATATTTGTACCACAGAAATGTACACAATTACTATGCTTGTATGCTTCATATGACACAGTCTACTCTG